CACACACACACACACACACACACACACACACACACACACACACACACACACACACACACACATGAAATATGTTAATGGACTCTGACCTGCACATCTGATTTCTTGACTTGCTGTGGTAATTTGATTTTACGTCAAAAAGATTTTTTGATTTTTTACCTGGATTACTGAGATGCATCAGGACATTGATTTTAAGTCATTTGATACTGTATTTCACTCAGCCACTATTTTATGTCCTCACATTTCTGTTTTTTTAAATAAAAAACTATCTGTACTGAACATGTTTGTACTTTAATTGTTTGCAGACCAGCAAGAAAGCCAACTTGACCTGCTGTATTCAGAGTTTCAAATCAAATGGACCCTCCTTTTTTGTCTTTCTGCAGGTATACAGAATAAAAAAAAAACACTGAGCAGAAAAAATGGAGGGATGTTTAATAATTGTATTTTTTAACTGAACAAAAGGTCTCTTTTTTGTCAGTCCAAAATGTTAGATAAGACTAGTCTTCCAGTCCTAGTTTTTTTAAAGCATGTCATCTCTTTTACAAAGGAATTCCTAAAGTAAGTCCATTTTGGGCTGTTTGTTTGTTCAGGCTGAGTTTGTTCACACAGATGATAACGTGATTTCAGCGTTACCATTCTGCATTCTGGTTAATGATTCATTAATAATAGCCATATTATTTACTGAAACCACATCAGTCCCCTTAAATATATTTAAGGGCTCAGGAAGCTTAGAGGACCTCGACAGCACCTCCGAGTGGATGATTGCACAGTAAATTTGCAGAGACATTTGTGGCGGCAGTGCCTGGTACCAAGCCTTAACCCCTTTACTTCAAAAGGTACAGATGATGGAAATCTGTGGTGTGAACACCTAACGATGCTCTTTCTCAGAGACCCTCTTTATGCAGCCGGCTACTAGACACTTACATCTTTATGAAGCACTGTGGCCTTCTCTGTTTGTTTGTTGTTGGTGTGGTCACTGTGGTCAGTGTGGTCAGCGCGGCCATTCCGCGACTCCTTCCTGATGCCGTCCGCTGCCATTTCAGTCGACTGCAGATCGGAGGAAAACAACGATTGTACCAGGTCATTTTTAGAGTTTTCATCCTCTTTGTTAACGTTATCAAAGCTTATCACACAGGTCACAAGTTAATCTTTACAGGGACCGTTGTTTCCTGCTACCAGCAAAAAAATAATAACTAAAATAAAATAAAAAGAAAGAAATAAAGAAAAAGAAAAATTTGCTCAGATTAAAGAATCACAAAAAATAACAAGACTAATTCAAATCCACACCCCCAAAATAACTCATTGTTTACATTGCTGTCCCTGGAATGGGGCTGATTCCACTATTGTAAAAAACACAGATATTAGTTTATCTTTAGAGTACTTGAGACATAAAATCTCAGCCTCAGTTAAAATGCTCTCAAAACACCACGGCTCTGATTTAAGGTGGAAACCTCACAGTAAACGGACAGATTATAGAAAGTCAAAAGTCACAGTTTGTCTAGAGATTTATCATAACTTTCAATATATTTTTATTAACATTTCTACATTAGACTGACATTTTGTGATGATAATAAACACATCTCATGAAGTTCATTCACCCTGGTGTCTCAGGGTTAAAATGCAAACTGATGATTTAGGCAAATTTAAGTAAGACAATTAATTTGTAAAACACATTTCACACCAGAAAGCAACTCATGGTGCTTTAAAGATTAAAAACAAGTTAACATGAACGAGGCAAAACTACTTATGTACACAGTTACACACAAACAAACACAAGCCAAATGAAAACATAAAAATGTTTAAAAGCTGTCATCAAAGGCAGGACAATTTTTTAGGAGCAGTTAGTTAAAATAGCAAATCAGAATGTCTTAATATCAGACTGAAATCGGAGGTCTTTAGATGCAGGATTGTAGTAAATGTCAAATTATTCCACTCAGAATTATTCTGCTTGATATGTTATAGATTTCTACAATAAAATACTACACATGCATTGAAATTGTACATATTATTCTATCATGCAGTTTAAAACTAAAGACGTTGTTATTATTCAGAGAGAGACACAATCCAAACAGGAGGAGAGTTATGCAATCAGGAGAGTTTGGGAAACACATGGCTATCCCTTCACTCACCAGAGTAATGTTTAACTTCCCTTTGAGTTAATGTATGAGCAAATAAGCATTCAACAAGTAAAAATGTTAGAGATCTGAGACCTTGCCAAAATAAAACCATTTAAAAACTTACGTAGATGTTGATGGAAACTCTACAAACTTTCAGTGAATTGTCACAAAATCCAGACCCGGTGATGCGTTTGCACAGGTGATGCCACGAGAAAGTAAAACAGAGACTGGCAGGAAAGTCCGATCCAACTGAAAACCTGGGACTCCATCAGCCTGAACACACTCCCTTGATGGGATGTTCCCGGATCGGATTGGTCGTCCTGGACAGCGCTGGATGGAGGGCTTACCTTATTCCAGGCTTCCTGCACAATGCCCTTTTTGATGAAGATATACGACACCACTGATGTTGTGTGCTTGTACATTTGTGCGTGCGTGTGTGTTTCACATCACTTTTCTCTTCCTCTCCTCTTTTTACCCCCTCCTGATCTTTTTAGAAGTCTGTGCCTGCAAGAGAATTTGACACTTTAATGCAACAATTATATCTCCTTTTTCCCCTCCATAACAGAATAGGCAACCTCTCTTCAGCATCAGGTGCCTCAAAAGGACCATCATCTGCTTCAGTCAAACCCTCTCCTCACCAAATGACATGAAAGAAGAAGAAAAAAGACATATAAAGACATTTCTGCAACCAGTTAAATTTTCTGACCAGTTATTTTTAGTGGCTGAAACAACTGAGGCCTTTCATGTTCTTTTATCCCCGCCTTTCTTTTATAAAGCTCCTTGAATGTGAGCAGCAGCTACATATGCGGTTGTAATCTGCTCGCACAAGAACACTTTGACATCTGAACTCAGTAACCCCGAGAAGAACAAGAACAACATGACCAAGTTTCAGACACATTCAGAGGGGGTGGGCTTAAGAGCTGACTGATTTCATTCACAGCCGTCTTGGTAAGCCAGTTTAAGAAGAATTTATTCAGTAGGAACTCGCTATATTTATTCACTGTTTCAGTTCAGGCAGACAACTAAGGATTTGGACATTCAAGCACACCCACAGCCTTTCAATGATTCAGTGAAAATCTGTTTTTATATGTTTAAATCCTACATGCCATATAGACAAATAATTTTTTTACAAGTCTAAATAAAAAAATTGGAGATGTTCTTCAGCTGCAGCCAGGTGGCGCTGTGGAGCACTGGTCATGGAACAACCCCTGACATTATCCAAACCAGTATTTTTGCAATGCATTGTGGTTTGCATTTATTCATAACAGCTTCTGGTTTCTTAAAACCGACTTAATTTAAACAGTGTTCATGTGTGCATGTATGTTTCAGCTGGGCTTTGCAGTCATTTTGACATCAGGCAACATTTGTTGTTTGCCATTTGTCCAATTTCACACAGACATTAGTAACAGTAAAAAGGTTAATGAGAACCGGTGCAGGTTATTTCCAAAAACTGCATGAAATTGATTTTCATCCATTTTCGTTGTACAGAACTGTATATATGATATCCTATTCATGAGAGCTGCTATATTATATTTTAGAGCCAGTGTCTGCAAACAAAAGATGTGGAGCTTAAAGTTCCACCTACACACAGTCGTGTTGTCACATCACCTTTTTAGTATCAAATGAGAAATTATCCACTAAACGTATTAGAAAAATATGTACTTCAACTCACAGCAAATTAAAAAAAGCAAAAACAATAAAGAAATTTGGTTTGGCTGATCATTGCATATCATCATTATAAATGAGAATTGGTTCTCAACTAATTTACCTGTTAAAATAAAGGTTTAAAGGTTAATTTCCCCCTTTAGCAGAGCCACATTTATTAAGAAAACACATGGGTTTAGCAGCAGAGCTGAATATTATTCTGTTATTGGCTCTCTTTTGGTGCTGTTTATTTGGTTGGGTGCTTGAAGTATAAAGAAACCAGTTTGACAATTTAATCACTTAACAAGCTGGAGCTTTGGTGGAAGAACCATATACAGCCAAAACAGCCTGACACCCATGGGTGCCACTAGGTTTTAAAGACAAAGGGGCTTAGCCCCCAGGAGATGCACGGAATTTTTGTATATTATATACTTGTGTGTGTGTGTGTGTGTGTGTGTGTGTGTGTGTGTGTGTGTGT